AAAACTTTTGCATCGCCTTTTTCCTCCATCAAAGCATGAATTGGCTATGTCTGGGAGCACAAGCATTATGTTACAGAGAAACCTAGAGGAGCTTAAGAGCCCCTGAAAGTTCGGAGATTTTTCAGCTGGGATTTCTTCACCGCGACATCAAACCTGGAAACTTTGCGATTGGACGACAAGACGCTAATGAGCATCACATCATATATATGCTGGATTTCGGGTTGTGCAGAAAATTTCAAGAAAAGGTAAGATCTTACAGGTTTGAGTGATCACTCGCGCAGTATCGTACTATTCCCAAAATGCGGCGTGTCCGACAGGAAAGGGTACGGTCTGGACGAGAGTTTGGGGTCAGGTTTTTCGGACGTTAGTTATGTGAATTGCACCTTCTTGTTAGCCGTGATCTCTCAAGTCCAGAAAAGTACGAGTACCCGAATTTGTTGGGCTCTGCTTCTTTTTTTTATTCTAATCTCCACTCAAAGTATGCGTCTTCACTGACGACCTCTACGATTTGTTTACCAATTTCTCAACTGCACATTGCAGGACAAAGATGTTCGAGTACCCCGAGAAATAGCTCCATTTCGAGGCACAACACGATACGCACCGATTGCAGCCATGAAACAGGCAATCTTTTAATTTGCGCGAAAATCTTAGGCACTTAGTGTCACGCCCATCGATGATCTCCGGTCAAACCGTATTTAGATCGAGCAATCGCGAAAAGACGACTTGGAAGGATGGATGTATATGGTCGTTGAGTGGACTTCAGGTGGTCTACCGTGGAGAAAATACAAGGTGGGTATTTCTAAGGTGTTCCTGACTGATATATTTTTCAAATGCTCTTTCCAGGCAGACAATCGAGAAGAAGTTTTGAGAATGAAGGAAGAAGTGCGTGACAAAGAAGAAGCAATGAACGTATTCTTCAGAAATTGTCCAGAAAGAGAATACAAACGTATAATCAAAGTGAGTCTTTCTTTTTCAGAGTTTACAGCGAAATGAATTAAGGTCTAGCCCCAGATGAAGGCGGAGGTTTAC